TGTGGGTGTTATTTTTATTATTTTTGATGTAAAAAAAAAAAAAATTGCTACTAGCTTCATTATGAACATCCCGTTAATTAAAAATAGCTTTCATCGCTCGGTGTAAGTTACTTGAACTTTGGCCAGGCACATTTAGCCAATTACAGGTGCAGGCAGCCGTGTCGTTTGCGCAAACAGGGAAATAGCTACGTTGTTTACAAGACGGATTAAACTTTGGCTAAGGATATACTGCGGTCATACCGAACAATAACGTTTGCGTCGGTAGGTCTGGATATGTACAGCTGCGCTGGCGCCAAATGGCTTTAAGAATGCGCTTACTACGTCACACACTTGGCACGTACATGTGCCCAATCCTGTGCAGGTAAAAAGTGGACAAATAATGTCGGACAAATTAATCGTTGCGGTCTGTGCGTCCCGGAATTTGTTCAACACAGACGGCTTCCGATACGAGCCAAAAAGGAGCAGGCAGAGGCTACTTGCCGTCGCTGGTTAAGTACGTGTGTGGGCTTGTTTACAAGTGCTGAACCAAGATAGCAAGTTTTTCTCAAAGTCACCGCCATGATTTTGATGGTTTCTATTGAAACGCTGAGACGTGAGACCTTGAAAAAGGAACATTTCCGACTTTTTTTTCCCAATGGGCCATCCCACTGCGTGCACCCTAATCACTTTCCCTCACATCCCTCTCATTGTCTAGAAGTTTCCAGAGCTGAAATTCAAATATGTGGAGGAGGATCAGCCCGAGGACTTCTTCATCCCGTACGTGTGGTCGCTGGTCTTCAATTCGGGAGTGGGTCTCCACTGGATGCCGCAAGGCATCGAGCTCTTCAGCATGGACTCCGGCTGAGGCTGCGTGTGTTTTGTCCCAGTACAGACTGACACTTTGTACTAGCGCGTGCGCGAGTGTGTTAGTGTGTGTCGCTTTTTATAGGACGCCGCTTTGGAAGTGCCTCAACCTTGTGCTACAGCGGTGTCGCGGCGCAACCTCATTATGTCGTAAACCAAAACAATCCTTCTGGCTTCTCCGCTGGGAATCAACGGGGGGGGCATGACCTGTTTCCACAGCGCATGTCATGCTAAAGCTTCCCATTGGTGGGCTGCGTTACGGAGACCAGCGACCGATCATAATCCTGGTTGTTGCTTCTCTTTAAAAAAAAAAAAAAAAAAGGTCAATTAAAACATATGCAAAGAGGACTTCATGCGTAGAATAACTTATTTACAGATGCACTGGATTTGCAACAATATATGCATTTCATGAATATGCAGTAAAATTCTCACTTTTATAATGAATTAGCTTTTTTTGTGCGCGCGCTTGGCTGCTGGAGGAGCTTTAGGGCCACACGGAACAAAAAACAAATAAATAAATAATAGAAATGCAAGAAAGATTTCAAAATCAGTTCAAAAAAACAAAGTTTTAAGATAAATGGAGGAGCAACTATTTTTTTCCGGGACTCCGTTGTTCCCCTCTCTGCACGAGGAATAAGTCTGACCGAGCCCTTTCCTTTTACCGTTTTTTTTTTTTTTTTACTTTTTTTTTACTGCTCAGTGTGCCCCTAATCCTCCTTAGCACTGTTTGAAAGCATTTGGTCTGTTAAAATGAAGAACTTAACAACCCACCCAAAGTAAAGTTTTTCAGTTGCAGTATGGTAGGGCAAGTGTTTCAACCTCTTATCTTATTGTTTGTCTCTTTATATGCATGTTTAGTGTTTGCATTTAATTATTTATTGTATTTTTGTTTACTTTTTAATAAATGGGCCCCTAGACATGTATGAACAACAAAATACTTATTACTCAGTATATATACTTGATAAAAGCATATCAACAGGTGAATTTTACTTTTCCAGATGGGGCTGGAATAAAGACATCAGTATCAAAGCAGCGGAGCCTTAGTGTCACATGTTTAACAAAGTGAAACACAGTTTGGATCAATCGAGGAAATGACAGTCGACAAAATCCAATGGAACACAATTCCGCACCACTTCTGATTTTTGCATGTTTGGATTATTTTCCCTCTCGTGGGAAATTATGAAACTAGAATTCATCTATTCCTGGATCTAGCTATATAACCATCCTAAAATCGATTGTAATATTTGTTAAAAAAAAGTCCTTTGACGCTCACTGAACTGGTGTCTCATAACCTTTTCCAACACTTTGCGTGACGTTCCTTTTGCCGACTGAGACTGCAGCCAAGAAGGAGGAAAGAAAAGAAACCTATCGGCGAGGGAGGTAAAAAGGCCACAATGGCTGCCACTTCCCTAGAGAATTTTATGCCATTGTATGGATTTTTTTTTTTTTTTTTAACATGTTCAAGGACAATGCTAATGCTTCTCTCTCCAGAGTGGCCCGCTCTCACCTGCTCGCAGCTTCGTTACGCGGGAGGGGGATTTGAGCTGGCAGATGGCTGAATGGAGGTGCTTCCAAAGTGACATGGCCTCCTTGCGCCGCCTCGCCGCCGGGGTCACCTTACCGACGGCTCCCGTTTCATGTGACGGCAGCAAGATGGATGAAGCCGCCGCTCGGTTTGGTTTGGTTTGGTTTCATCCCTCAAGGTGGATGTGAAAAGCTGTAGCTACATAGGACAAAATAGAGCAGGGAAAAGTCAGCTCAATGGGGATTCTTTGCCATTCTTGCGTGATGTTCGGCTTCAGTTGTTCAATGGTTCGGGGACTACTTTGCTGTATTTTACGCTTCACTGTGTGCCACGCATGTTCAGTGGGAGACAGGTCTGGACTGCAGGCAGGCCAGTCTAGTACCTGCAGTGCTTTACGACAAAGCTACACTGTCGTAACGTACAGAACGTGGTTGGGCATTTTCTTGCTGAAATAAGCATGGCCGTCCATGAAAACGACGTTGCTTGGATGGCAGCATAGGTTTGTCCAAAATCTGCATGCACCTTTCAGCATAATGGTGCCTTCACAGATGTGTAAATGATCCAATTAAATTATTCAGCTGTTTTTTTTTAGACATGTCACAAGGAAGCAGTGACAACACAGACGAAGGCTGAAGTGACAGCCGAAACTCTCAGCTTGGTAAGACTTTTTGTTCTTCACTAAAAAAGACCCTTGTCTGCTAAAAAAGAAACCGTAAACCTATTACAACTAAAAAAACGTCATAGCGTTCGCCATCACCATGTTTTTCTCCAATTTAAAAACCTCAACAACACACCATCAGCGCCTTCAGCAGAAGAGTTTCCGAGTGAACCTAAAACTTGTAAGAGTCAAGTGAGAGCTCTCCTGCTATACGCCACCAACATACGCCTTTTCTCTCTCATAAGGCAATGTCGAGGTATGTTAATTACTGTATAAGGTTTTATAATTAAAGGTTTAAGTAATTGTGTGTAGTGTTGTAATCTTTGCCTCACATATATAAAGTATAAATACTCTTTACATATTTTAAACATGCTGGTACCCACCTACACGAAAATTCGGGGGTGGGGGAGGCGCAAATGCTACGTTGCGGTTTTTCACCTTTTGCACGCAGGGGGGGATCTGGTCACCATTAACTGTGAAAAAACGTGGGATCACTGCGTGTGCGTGTGTATATTGTATATTGGGGTAGAAATAGCGTGTTGTGAAAATAAACTTGACTTGCTTCGTGCATTGCCAGCATTCCCAGAGTGGACTAAAGAGGAAGGACAACATGGAGTCACTTCCACAGAGCTTTCCCCCTGGTGACTGATTACTTCCAGACATGTTGCCCCAACCCCGTTCCGCTTCCTCCTGCTCGGCAATTTTAAACGGCGCCACTGACGGAGCATGGGACAATAGGGATGGACAATTGACTCCAACACTCCCCCCCCCCAGCATCTTAACACGCACACACAAACAGACGTCATGACGGTCTTGCGCTAATCCCCCACCCCCTCAGTTTGCCCCGTAGCCATACCGGCACGTTGACAAAGTGACGCCTGCATTCAAATTCTCTGTCTGCCTACGAGGCAGTAACATACACGAATGCAAATTCGGCTCAATCGCTGTCTGGACTCTTGCCCCACGACTAAGCACAATTAGCGACGTACTAATACCAATAATCTTACTTACAAACCAAAAACGCTAAGATTTGTAATTTTATGTGGAAAAGGGCACCTTGTGACAAGAATCGGTGCGGTACACACACGCACACACTCGTATATTCTCTTATAACTCCACTGTTGGTTTCTTGTACTATTAAGAAAAATTCGCGCAACTTTAACACCCCCCACACACACACGCACACACAAAATGTAATGATTTTCCTCAATCATTTGACTCTTTCTGCATTGTCCGTATTACTTTTTCATACTTAGAAACAAGCACACGTAAACGTTCAATGTGATGTCATCATTACTTGTGAATGTGCTTTATGATTCCTTTCCGTATAAATACAACCTTCACTGTAACATTTGATATCCGGCTTGACAAATGAAACGAAATAAATCTGATTGGCTCGTTACAAAGTCGAGCTGCGAAACAAACCACGGATGCGTCATCTCCTTGTACCCATGACCGGAAGTGAGTGCTCTCCATCGTTTTGTAAGCGTCCAGCAGGGGGCAACCGTGAACAAGCAGGGCAAAATCAAAGTCGTGTAATTTCTGCCTTTGCCCTCGACTTGTTCTCGCAGGCACACAAAACAAATTCCCAACGACTTTGTGTTTGAAACCATCAAAAAGCCCGCTTAGAGAGCCAAGTACAAACATTAACAAATCAGCAAGTCAATTCAAGAAAGAAAACAGGAGCGAGGGTGCGGCCCGTCGCATTAATGAAAATCGGGGAGGATATAATCATTTGATGGGGAAAACTACATTAACATGACAAAACCTCTGAAATAGATGTCGTATTTTAATGTTAAACAACAGCAACGCTTCACCGCAATCCACTTTTATTTCGCACACATCCACTTTATTAACTCAAAGACACTTTTTATCGCTTAAACCACGTCAACATTTTTTACGTTGGCGTGCTCGTGCCCGCTTGTACTTGCGCCCTCTGGTTGATTGCGCGCGTTTGGTGTTTGCGCAACAACACAATCCCATTTCATGTCAAGCGACAGGCTGTCTAGACGCCCATGTGACCGGGCGCGTCAATGCTCACTGTGGGGAGGACACACACACACACAAACACACGCACACACTCTCCACGAACCAATCCGCGTCACACACACGCACACACTCCGCTTGCAGAGAGCACACACTCACACACGTCTGCTTGCTTCAGTGCCACGCACAGACTCGCAGTGTGCATGCAGAGAAAGGCTGCTGCAGGACTCCACGCTGAAGGATATCACGGAGCTTAAAAAAACACGAGTCTTTTTGGGGGGGATTCTTAGTGGTCGTGGATTAAAAGCTCTTTCGGGCCATTTTTGCCGCTTCACGTCACGCTGCTTTGTTGTAGCGCGATCGAAGCCCCCTGGATGTTGTCAGCGGGGAGCCACTGAGCGAGCGAGCCGAGCACCGGCGGCGGCCCAGAGCAGCAAACTCCAGCGTGTGGCCGGGCTACGGGCTCCCGTCTCCGGCGTCGCGCTGCTGCAGCCCCGCCGCTCCGCTCCTCCGGCTCGCCGCCTTTCTGCCCCCTTCCTCATCCCCTCCTCCGCCGCCTCCTCCGGACTCGGACTCGGACCCGGCAATCTTCATGGTTTGCGGACACCATGCCCGTTGTTTAGCCGGGGAACCCTCATCTCGTCCCGCATGTTCAGGACCAAACGATCGGGGCTCGTCCGGCGACTGTGGCGGAGCCGCGCGCCCGTGGAGGGCGACGGGGAGGTGGACAGAGGGACGCATGGCCCCGGGGGTTGCTGCATGGGCAAAGCGGCCAAGGTGGCGGCCAAGTCCCACGGCGGGTCGGAGGCCGAATTGAAGGCGCTTACCCACTCTGTGCTCAAGAAGATTAAAGAGAAACAATTGGAGGTGCTTTTGCAGGCGGTGGAGTCAAAGGGGGGCGCCCGCAGCCCCTGCTTGCTGCTGCCGGGCAAAGTGGACGCCAAAGTGGGTCAAGTGTCTTACTCCCTCCCCATGCTGCTCTACAAGGTGTTCAGGTGGCCCGACCTCAGGCATTCCTCGGAGCTCAAGAGGCTGTCGTGCTGTGAATCCTACGGGAAAGTCAACCCGGAGCTCGTCTGCTGCAATCCGCACCACATGAGCCGCCTCTGTGAACTCGGTAAGGAGACTTCTTGTTCAAAAAATAAACCGAAAGAACGAACCACACATGCATTTGATCTAGTTTATGAATATTTAAATAATATGGTTGTATTTTTGGGTTGCATTGTTGCCATTGCACTCATTTAACTTTAGTTCCTCAAGATGTGTGCATGTGTTTAAAATGGAAAACTTTATTTTTTTTAATTATATTGTCATTTAAGTTTACAAAAGTTTTGGTCTCACTGGTGTCATTGCACCAAAAATCAAGGTATTGTGAATATATATATTCACAATTTTAAAACTAATTTTTGTTGTCTTGTTTGCATTGGTGGCATTGCACTGCTTAGTTTCAGTTTTATTCACTTGATCAAGATACTTGCATGTTTTTTTAAGAAATAAAAATATTTAATTGTAATTTTTTGGGGGGAGGACTGCTCTGGTGCTGTCATGTGCTTTGAAAGTGCTTCATTTTAATCAATTCATCAAGGCACATGCATGTTTTCTCCTTGAGTCTATTAGAATGACTTTTCTAAAAGTGCGCAGGGAAGTTTTCAGGCATTTGTGTATGTGTGTGAGAAAGAGAGAGAGAGAGACACACGGAGGCCCCTATCTGAGTTTGTCCTAGACGCTGATAGTGGCCCTCCTGGCGCCAGGCGGCCCCCTTGTTTATCTGGCTGTCAGTGAAAGGCAATAGCCAGCCCTCGGGGCCTCTCTCGCATGCTCATGAAGTCGTCCAAGGGTGTGCCAAACCTATGGGAAATATATTATGTTAATTATGAGGTATGATAAGTGTTTTGGCTTTCATTTGTTTTTAGCATTGCATGGCGGGTTTTGATAAAAATGATCTCATGGGCCCCCTCTGGCCCATGTGCCTTGGGTTTATCACCTGTGAGATATTTTCTAATGCGTTTTTCTCCTCTCTCCATGCAGAGTCTCCTCCTCCTCCCTATTCCCGCTATCCCATGGATTATCTTAAACCACCAGGTGAGCTCATGCACATTCATATTTAAATGAGATTGATTTTAATTAAACACCAATAAAATTTATCGAGTACGTCCGAGTTAAAACACAAGTGGAGAACCTTTTTTTTTTTTTTATATACATAAGATCCAGAATACTCTTCAAATGACGGGAACTTTTGTAATGTGCATGCCAGGCCACTAGTTGGCGACGTACAACAAATGCCCGGCGTTTTCTGAAACTGTTTTTGGATCACATTTGGGAGTCTTTTTCACCTTTTGGCAATGAGGCACGTAATTGACCGTGATGATATTGCTGTCATTTTGAACAAATGTCGCACTCTGATTTACATTTTTACATCAACCAAATGAGGAAAACATTTGTTTTGCAGCATGCTACACTTTGAGACCCAATTTCTATTTTTTAGGTTCAATGAGTGAGCAAAATGTTGCAATTTTTCGTACTTGTTTTTATTCGCGCTTGTCTGCACCGAAAGCATGTCCTTGATTTTTGTTGTTGTTTTTTTCCCCAGCATTTTATGCAAACACTTGGCGAATGATCAAACAAAACATTTTTTCACTTCATAGCGATTCTAAGCAAATGATCAAGTTGGTGTTAAAAAAAACCAAACATGCACTTCGATACCTGTTTTTAAAAAGAAATCGCTATGCTTGCAAGCATTCGCACGCATATTTAAGAGCTTCAAGCAAGCGAGCAAAACAAAATATTTCTGTTTTCGCATGCATACACTAAATGCACATCTTTCATTTTTGGACTTTAGCCGCTAATGACAGTGGTGTCACGATAAAGAAACGTCGCATCTTTTAAAAATCTTTCAGAGCGGGAACACCCAAATGACACAATTTTGCCATTTTCATCGTTAAGGTTTGGCAATTGATCCCGTTTTTGCTCCAAACGGTGTCACGTAAACACCCCCACCCCCTCTTGACTGTAAAGACACTTCAGACTTGAACATCTTCATAAAAGTGCAGTCTCTGCATCACGTGTGTGTGCGCGCATACATGTTGGTGCGCATAGGAAGCAGCTCCGTGTTTCGCTGTGATTTATGGCAACAGTGCAGAGGCACCGAGGCTGGCTGTGCACTTGGAGCGTGGCTGGCGGCCAGCTGGCTTTCGCGGCGGCCTACGAGCATGTTTGCTTGCCAGTCCGTCTTCATGGAGCCATGCGCACTTATTCACACTTCAGTCCTGGTCGCGGGACATGTCTCCGGCGTTGGATGCCTTTAATGTTAGCGCGTGGGCCGATTTTAGCATCTTTGCTTGTTTACCCCGCGGCGGCAGAGTCTTCACTTGTTTGTTTGTTTGTCGGCCCCCACGACGATCTGAGCCAGACGACGATTGTCACCTCGGTGCCAGAGAGGCGCAGCGGGTTATGTCATCGTCGCCCTGCGAAGCGTGTTACATTTCAAGCATGGCGCGTCACCTCAAAGCCGCGCTTGGACGGCGTGATCGTGCGCCAGACCTTCTTTTATTGCACATTGTTTGCAAAATTGTTTCCTGATCGATAGAACTACTTGGTGGCGTCAAAAGCCTTTTCTGGTCAGCTGCTATGATTACCCGCGTGACTCCAACCAAACCTCTCACTCCCCCTAAAAGAAAGATAACCAATCACAGATCCCATTTATTTATTTTATTCACAGTGGTGCACTGTATCTCCACATATGACCTGTTCATTTAAATAGTAAATATGCCAGATTTTGAGCCATTGGCTACTTTCCATCTGCAGTCCCTTGAAAGGTTGCAACATTCTAAGTATACATGTGTGCTGTTGACTGAGCATCACAGAAGTATCCTCAAGCATTTTTTTTTTTTGCCGATGTTTAGCAATCTTTTCAGTGCCACAAAGAAGGAAAGTAGATCAGATCTGTGCAAAGTCGAATAGTAACCGTCCGTTGGCCATGCGACTCGAGCGTGACTACAAAAGCGACCCATCTAATCCAATAGAAGTGTTAAGATGAGAGAATGTATATTCTTGCATCAAGCGGTAAGAAAAAAATCAAAACAAGACTCAACAGTCCACGATCTCCGGCATATTCAAGAAAGCGGTGATACTGATGGTAACCGTGCCAATCGAAAACCGATACAACGGGCGCTCGCTCTTTCGAGGGCAACCGTGTCCGTTCCCGCTTAAGAACTTTGACGAGCATTTGCACCCAAACCTAAAAAAATAAAATAAAAAATTGCATGATGGCAGTGACGCGTTTCTTCTTTGGCGCGCACACAGCAAAGTTTCACCTTGTCGCCTTTCTCTGATACTGTTGTGCCCTTGAACGTGAATGCAAGGCTCAACGTGCCCGCAGTCATAGAAATAGTGTGGATACAGATACAAGACTGCGTATCCTTACATGGCGTGTGTATAAAATCGAAACAGTGGCGTCACATCATTCCAACGATACATTCGCATCACATCTGACTTTCCAACAACCGTCCAGCTGGTCCGCTGGCTATGCATGCAAAGACAAGGATGATTCTGAGGGTGACTGACTGTGTGGCTCGAGCGCGCAAAGAGAAAATGGAAACAAGTCATTGTGGTGCGCGTCATCCCAAAGCCACTTTTGTGTCTTTCAACTTTGGGACTGCAAACGCTCCATTAAGATGGGAAATGTGAAAGAAAAAAAAAGAATGATGATTCAAATGGAAAAGCAACTGACTGCCATACTAACAACCGCCACATGGCTTGAGCGTGAAGAGAAAATCTCAACGGTGTGCCGCATTATTCGAAACTGAAATCAAGCTAGGAAGTATTCAAGAAAAATAATGCTGAGTCTGACGGTAGTCATGCTACTCAAGCACAAGAGGAAATCAAAACTGGGAACGGATGTCATTATTTCAAAGAAACATCTATATCTCTTCCTCTTTATGGACTTCAAAACATTCCGCTAGCCAAAATAATTTGAAGAAAGTACGTGTTGATTCGAATGAGAACCGCGACGGAACCATGCTGCTCGAGCACAAGGAAAAAAAAAAATCCAAACAATGTGACTTTTAAATCAAAATCAGTTGTTGTCCTTTCCCACTTGAAACCGCAAACAGTCCATTAGCTTCGAAGTCTAAAGCAAGAGAATGAATGGAATTTGGACGGAAAACTGCTCAGCAACCGCGCAGCTCGAGTGGAAAGAAAAAACCGGAACGATAAGCAAGTCCCGTGTCTTTCCCTGGTCCAGTATTAAAAATGACAGTGAGGCCTGGACGTGTGAAAGCGCGTCAAACCAACAATCTTCTTCGTAACCAATCAGCAAACGGCCTTACGTCTAACTCCGCCCCTCCGACACCGTACCGCTGCAATTGAACTGACGCTCGGGGTTATGTAGTGCTCAGTGTGGAGATGAGCCCACGTAGACCGGTTGGGGGGGGTACGGTATGCAGGGGTCGTCCCCCCCCCCGCGGGCTGCTCATTTACGGGCGTGTGTCAGTGGCGGAAAAGAAAGCTGGGGGGCCAGACAATGACCCCTGCCAGACGAGCAGCTGGCTCGGGGGTCCGCCAGCCGAAAAGGGAGAAAGTGGCTTTCAGTGAGTGGAAACAATAGGAAGTCATTGCAGCTGCAGCTGTGGCTTCATAGTACAACCCCCCTTCCCTACCCCCCACCCACTCACTCCATTCCGCACCTGCCCCTGCTCTCCCTCCCCGTCTGCTTATCAACCATTATTTATTCAGCGTCTCGCTAAAGACGAGAATCAGCGCTGTCAGTCATGCTAACAAGCAGCATCCCGCAGGCTGAAGGAAATAGGAAGCCTCGTACGGAGACAGGAAGTGATTATGCAACTGAAAAAAGACCCTGGACTTGGTGTGGGAGCGTCACGGGGGAACCAGGAAATTAGCAGCTAGCCTAGCCTCTAAATCATCTGTCACGCTTTTTTCCGCCGTTTGTCATGACCCAGCGGGCGCAGCTGCTATGGCCATCACGACCGCGGAGAGAGACTCTGCGGAGATGTATTAATAGGACAATAGGACGTAGACGGCCCCCCCCCCCACCCCA